TTTTACGTTTTTCGTCGTGGTGGCAGTAATCAAAAAAAAAGCTCGTGGCGGGAAGGGGCGTCCGCCTCTTTACCCTTCCCAGGGGCGCGCAACAAAGAAAAATTTTTGGCAGCACCCGTATTTTGCCAACCCCGGGTACTCATTTTCCTCCCCCCCCCCCCCCCCCTCCTTCTAAATTGCTCCCTTGCCATGTTTGCCCCTCCCCTCCCGTCCTCCCCCCCTTTGCTAGGGGGCGCGCCGAAAAGGGAGTTCCGGCGTGCCGACCAGTCCTAAGCGACTCGTGGCACGCCATGCTGGAACGGATTGAGGCTGTGCTTCCCGCGACGTGTTTCCCAGCAACCCCCTGAACGGCGGGCGGCCGGGAGCAGAGGGACACACGCGGCCGTCGCCAAATCGCAGTGTAACTGCCCATTGGACGATGCCCTGTCATCTCGCTCAGGCTCACGGCTGTTGATCTTCGCCCCGGCACCCGGCGACATGTTGACAAGTACAATGAGAATTAAAGCAGCGCTGCATGGAGAAGATGGGCGTAATCAATGACGAATCAGAGTATCACCACGAACACACCGACCAGCGTTCACTCTGAAGCCAGGCAAAAGGCGCTTGCGGCATCGGAACAAGCAGATCCACGGGATACTGGTAGTCGTCCGCTAGGTTGGCAGCTCAAACACAGGGCACAGGGCATAGGGCCACAAGGGGCACTGTCGCACGCTGCATTAATAAGGGGTGGGGGGGCCGAGATCTGCGGAATGGGCTCGACTCGTGAAGGGAATCCTGGCTCTCTGGACTGTCGGCGCATGATGATCGTCTAGTACCGAGTACATCGGACGTTGAGTAGGCACCAAGGGATGCCATGGGCCAGGGATGTCAACGATATCGGGATTTCTCCTCGTCCTTTCGTTGTAGACTGGACAGCCAGGGAGCACAGACTGGGGTTTGTGATGGAGCTTGAATCCGCTTGACGAGATGGAGAGAAACATCAAGCTGAAGGATCGCAATCAAGCGAGTTGTGAGCATGGAGGGGAACACTTGATGGACGGCCAGGCATGAGGTCAGTGGATCTGATGCAAGGCGAACCAAGCACCAAGCATCGACACATACCTTACCTACCTACCTACCTAAGGTACCTACCTACCTTACCTACCTAGGTAGGTACCTACCCAGGTACATCGAAGGGGAGAAGGGGAGGGGAGAGGGGGGGGGGGATGTTGCCCCCTGAAGCGGACCCTCTTTTAGGCTGGCAGCCCCTAAGAGCACTAATCTCAGGCCCATCCAGCCCCTGGGAAGATGAGGCGCAGGCACCGATGATGAGAGGGCCAGATCACAGCAACATGTGGGAAGCGGCGATTGGATTGGCCAGCGGACAACCCTCTGGCTGGGCTTATCGGGGTAGCTCATCCAATGATGGGCAGTTTGACCAGAATTTTCCCTTTCCATTTGCCAGCCATTGAGTTGGTTGGCAGGGCCCCTCGCTCGTGCCGTCTGCTGGGGCATGCACGCGCATCTCATCCACCGTTCCACGCCTCCATCGAATCTCGTCTCCTGGACCCTCTCCTTGCCCCCCCCCCCTGGTTTGCTATCCCGTCTTTCCATCCCACCCCTCCCCTCCCCCGTTTGGGCTCCTCCCATTCCCACACAAATCTCCATCCAAACCACTACCAAGCACCAAGATTACCGGCCAACACAAAGCTGGATCGGGTCTCTCTCTCACACACACACGCGCAGACTCGTGCACCGCAGTCTTTCTTCTTCACTCCTTCTTCTTCTCCTTCTTCCTGCTCCAGGTCCACCCGCCAGAATCACCCCCTCTGACCCTGCGAACGAGGACGACGTTGACAAGCTTTTCTCGCCCGGCTTCAGCTCAGACTCCCGCTACTGTACCGCTATTGCCACGTCCATTCTCGGTACCTGCTAAGCACACGGTTGTACATCTGCAGCTTTTTTTTTCAAGGGACCCCCCGATTTGCATTCTGTTAAGGGACCTGCCCCACGGCCCCCTTTGACAAGTGCTTGGCTCGTCCTGTCCACTCGCTTTCCCCCTTCCACACACACCCCCCCAAAACCAAACCACCGTCTGTTTGCGCGTCTTACTTCTCTCGGCCACGACCTAAATCTCGTCCCTCGACCATCGACTGGCAACGACATCGACGACCAAGACGACGACCACGATCACCACGCGTATCTGAAGGTCACATCTTTGCCGACCATCACGTCCTCCTCTCTTCCGCATCCTCCCCATCGGTACACATCTCATCCACCACCATGTCTGTCGCCGACGAGAAGACACGGGTCTCTGGCGATGTGCCGCGCGCCGAGGGCCCCATCCTTCCAACCAACAATGCCCAAGCCGAGAAGTTGCAACAGAAGGCTCAGTCCAACGCCATTCACCCTGCCCTCTACGTCATGTGAGTATCTCGAGCAAACACTGCGAGAACAAAAGGCCACAGTGCCACGGTGATGAACAATGGCTGACGATGCAACGCCTGCAGTGTCTGGATCTCCCTCTCGTCCTCCGTCATTCTTTTCAACAAATGGATCCTCGATACTCTCAACTTCCGTGAGCCTCCTCCCTCCACAGCATGCCCTTCATCGCCAGCAAGAATTGATCTAACGCAAGAAACCCCCCTCCAGGCTACCCTGTCATCCTGACCACCTACCACCTTTCTTTCGCTACCCTCATGACCCAGATCCTCGCTCGATGGACTCACCTCCTTGACGGCCGCAAGACGGTCAAGATGACCGGCCGTGTCTACGTGCGGGCTATTGTTCCCATCGGCCTCTTCTTCAGCTTGAGTTTGATCTGCGGCAACCTGACCTACCTGTACCTCTCTGTCGCCTTCATCCAGATGCTCAAGGTAAGACTTTTTCCACTTGAAGAGGCAATCGACCATCCTTGTCTGAGATCTTATCTAATTGTTTTTGATCGATAGGCTACCACTCCCGTCGCTGTCCTCCTCGCCGGTTGGTCGCTCGGCGTGTCTACGCCCAACATGAAGGTCTTCCTCAATGTGTCCGTCATCGTTGTGGGTGTGATCATTGCTTCGATTGGCGAGATTGAGTTTGTCTGGGTCGGTGTCATCTTCCAGATCGGCGGTGTCATCTTTGAGGCTCTGCGTCTGACCATGGTGCAACGCCTTCTGAGCTCGGCCGACTACAAGATGGACCCCCTGGGTCTCTCTGTACTACTTCGCGCCCATCTGCGCCGCCATGAACCTTGCTGTTGCGCTCGTTTGGGAGATTCCTCGCTGCTCCATGGCCGAGGTCTACCACGTCGGCCTCAGCACCTTCTTCCTCAACGGCATGTGTGCGTTCCTCCTGAACGTCTCTGTCGGTTTCCTGGTATGTCTTCCCCGTGCGCGTCACGTACCTGTTTATGTCGACGCTAATTAATGGCGACACAGATTGGCAAGACCTCTTCCCCTGGGTGCTCACCCTCTGCGGTGTGCTCAAGGACGTCATGGCTCGTCGCTGCTTTCCATGGATGATCTGGGGGCACCAAGGGCTCCGCCCTGCAGTTCTTCGGGTACACCATCGGCCCTCGGCGGCGTTGGTCTTTTACCAGCTCGGTTACGAGCAGCTCCGTTGGCTACATTGGCGGAGGGTTCCCGGGCGCTCGGCCCGAGTTTGGGCAGG